TTTATAGGATAAATCATGTTAGGTTGTTTTTTTGGGGGTCGGGGGTGTGTTTGGGTTTGACAATATTGTTACATCCAATCACTTTGAGCCAAATTTCATTTTGATCAATATTTGTGAAGTTTGGTACATTGATTGTGGTATTTCGTTGGTTTAATTTTTTTTAATTTTTTTTATATTAATTGAGAGGAGGATTCAAATTCGAAAAATATTCAGATAGTCAGGTATCGCATGACCAAGAGCTAACTGCCTCCATAGGTTGATTAATAAAAGGGCATGCACATTTTCGTCCTTAGGTAAAATGAGTCATAAATTTTTACTAAAAAGAGCTAACTAGCTCTCTAGGTTGATTAATGAAAGGTCATGCACATTTTCAACCTTAGATAAAATGAGTTATAAGGTTTTACTAAACCGGGTAATGTTAGATTTTATTTTTTCGCCCTTTTTGGTTTGGTACATTATTATGTTTGTACCGAGGACCTGAATCAGAATTTAATTTAACATCAAAGTTGAATAAAGAAAGTCATTTTATTTAAGGATGACAAGGTTTTACAGAGAGACAGAGAGAGAGAGAGAGAGAGAGAGAGAGAGAGAGAGAGAGAGAGAGAGAGAGAGAGAGAGAGAGAGAGAGAGAGAGAGAGAGAGAGAGAGAGAGAGAGAGAGAGAGAGAGAGAGAGATCAAATGTAATTCTTCAGTATATTATTTTTCTTAGAGAGTAAGCAATCTTACAAGATATTTATAGAGAACACAAGATTATAACTAATCTAACTACCTAGCTAATCTTATGCCAAGTGTCACAATCTCATACTCATACATAATATCTCTATCATCCCCCCTCAAACTCATGCTTGGATGATCCTAGCATGAGATTGTTACAATGTGTGTGAAACAATTGAGCACTTAACCCCTTAGTTAAAATGTCTGCAAATTGTTCCTTGGAAGATACAAACTGAACATGAAGCTGATTCTTAGCAACGCGTTGGCGAACAAAGTGAACATCAACTTCGATGTGCTTGGTTCGTTGATGTTGAACTGGATTGAAAGATAAAGCAATGACCAACATATTATCACAGAACAATACGGGAATAGAAGATATTGTAATTTGCATAAAACTCAGGAGTTGCTTAATCCAATCAAGTTCTGCAGCCGTGGAAGACAAGGCCCTATATTCTGCCTCTATGGATGATTTGGAGACAGTTTGTTGCTTCTTAGAAGACCAATAAATGGGATTACTACCTAGGTAAATAACTAACCCAATTGTGCATCGCCTATCATTGGGATCCCCTGCCCAATCAGCATCACTAAAAGCTTTATTATCTAAAGCAGAACTGGAATAAGACAATCCATATGTCATGGTACCTTTAAGATACCTAAGAATCCTTTTTACTGCAGTATAGTGTGAAACCATAGGGCACTACATAAACTGACACACATGATGAACGGAGAAGGCAATATCGGGTCTGGTAAAGGTTAAGTATTGCAGAGCATCCACAACACTCCTATAACATGTAGGATTAGTATACGGTTCACCATCATCTTTGAGGAACCGATGATAAGGCAAACAAGGTGTATCACATGGCTTAGAGTCAACCATTTATGTTTTAACCAACAGATCATTGACATACTTTTGCTATGAAAGAAACAACCCAGTTGCAATGCGAGAGATTTGAAATCCCAAAAAATAATGCAAATGACCGAGGTCTTTGATATCAAACTCAGAAGTCAAGGACTGAATAACCTGTTGAATAGCCAAAGAGTCATTGCCAATGATGATAATATCATCCACATAGAACAACAAAATAACCAATGCGAAACCAACAGTCTTCACAAACAATGAAGAATCCGAATACATAGTGGTGAACCCCAACTGAGGAAGAAATGTAGTGAATCACTCATTCCAGGCTCGGGGAGCTTGTTTCAAACCATAGAGAGATTTATGGAGTTTGCAGACCAAATTAAGATAGGGAGAGTCTTCAAAACCTGGAGGTTACACCATATAGACTTCATCTTGCAAAATGCCATGTAAAAAGGCATTTTTGACATCCAACTACCTGAGAGACCAATTGAAATGAGCAGCTAAGGCCAACATTATCCTCACTGTGGTGGGTTTAACAACAAGACTGAAAGTCTCATTATAATCAATCCCAGGTTCTTGACTAAACCCTTTAGCTACCAACCGAGCCTTATGTCAAGCTATAGTACCATCAGAATGTTTCTTAATCTTGAACACCCATTTACAACCAACCAAATTCTTGTTGGAAGGCAAAGACACCAAGCTCCAAGTCTTCTGAGTATGAAGGGTATCAATCTCTTCTTTCATAGCATTCAACCAAACTGGACATTTAAGAGCGGACCTGTGAGAAGTAGGTTCAACCAGAAAAGGATCTGTGGTATTAGATGATTGTAAAGTAGAGAAAAATGCCTTCCGTTTGATGATCCCACTTTTACTCCTTGTTTGCATAAAATGTAGGTTCATAGGTGGAACTAACAATACCACTTGAAGAGTCTTAGGACAATAGATAGGTGCCACAGGGATCTCAAGGCTGTTATTTTTTGCAGCAGTAATGGACTGGGATAGAACAGGTAAATTGGAACTAGATGAGGGTGACAATGAAGATGGTATGGAATGCATGGAAGATGAATGGGACTCTATGACATGTGGAGAAGAATGAGATGGTGTAGAAACAGATGAAACAACCACGTTGTTTGATGTAACAACGGGAAGTGGGAAAGACACAGAGGATGTGGGCAATGAAACACTATCACTGTGTGAAGGAACCGGTTTCGATGCTGTCAATAAGTCTGTAAAAGGAAACTCTTGTTCACAGAAAAATACATGCCTTGATACATATATTCGCTGTCTAGCCACCTCATAACACATAAAGCCTTTGAACTTGGAAGCATACCCTAAAAAGACACACTTAGTAGTTTTGGGTTGTAATTTGGTGCTATTGTAAGGTTTAAGAAGAGGATAACAAGCACACCCAAAAATTTTCAAGTGAGAAAGAACTGGAACACTCCCATATAGTAACTCAAAAAGAAACTTATTTGATAGTAAAGGAGTAGGCATTCTATTTATAAGATAAGTGGCTGTTTGACAAGCAAAGCTCTAGAAAGGAGAAGGAATCTTAGCATTTCGAAGCAAAGTAATGGTGGTTTCAATGATATGCCTATGTTTTCTCTCAGCCAAACCATTTTGTTCCGGGGTATATGGACATGATTTTTGATGTGAAATGCCTTTTTCAACTAGAAAAAACTGAAATTTGTTACTACAATACTCTCCTCCCCCATCACTTTGGAAAATCTTCACAGTAGCAGAAAACTGATTCAACACATAGGCATAAAAACAATAAATGTGGCACAAAGATCTGATTTATTTATGAGTGGAAATATCCACGTGTATCTAGTACATTCATCGATAAAGGTAACATAATACCGATATCCATCAACTGATGTACAAGGTGCAGGACCCCAAAGGTCACTATGCACCACCTGAAAAAGGAATGACAGACTTATTGACAGTTTTGTGAAATGGCAGCTTACAAAATTTACCTTCTAAACAACTTTGACACACAATAGGGACAAAATCTTTGGCACATGTAATGTTTGACTTATGCAACATCAAAGAAACAATGGAATTAGAGGGATGACCCAATCGACTATGCCATATAGTAGAGTTGACAAGTTGTCCAAGAAAAGCTTTAGCTTGTAACTTTGGCTGAGGTACACCAAGAGTGGTAGTAGCTAAGGAATGAATGGGATAAAGTCCATTTCTGCATAGCCCTCGGAAGAGGATCCTTCCTGTGGCTTTGTCCTGTATCTAGAAGCAAAAAGCATCGAAGATAAGATAGCAGTTGTTATCTAGGCAGATTTTGTGAACAGAAAGTAAATTCTGTGATAGTTTAGGAACATATAACACAGAATTTAACTTGATAAGCTGCACAGAAGTGTTAAACACAGTACTACCAATATGGGATACTTTCAAACCTTCACCATTAGTTGTTTGAATTGTTTCATTGAATGGATACGGTGAAGCCAATGACAAGTTGATGAATCAGAATCAACAGAAGATGATGAATTTGACAGATCCACACCAGAGGGACCAGATGGAGATACACATCGAGGAGGACATGGGATGGAGCCATCAACAAATCCCATGATACCATTACTTTCGAGTAATAATTGCATTTGAAATTGCCAATTTAGGTAATTGGAATCATCAAGTTTAATATTCATCGAAGTAGGAAGCGATGGAATAAGTGCAGTAATTGGAGACTGGAGCAATTGCAATTGACTAGCAGTAACCATGATGCAAGAAATCAAGGCACAAAATCTTGTAGAAAGAAAGATACCTCTCAGCGGCGAAATCACAAACACCTGGAGTGCAGGAACACAAAAGACAATGAGAAGAGAGTTCCGATCAGAAATTGCAGAGCGTCGAAACCCTAGAAACTTGAAGAAGAAGAAAATTGAGAAGAACACATCACAATTCAGCTGTGGCACTGCAATGCTTCAATTATCAAAGACAATAGCGGAAATTGATTAAGGATCGAAGAGGCGGTAGCCCTGGTGGCGAGTGATACCATGTTAAGCTAGAAAGAAGAATAGAGGTTTTACAGAAAGAGAAGCTTTAGAGAGAGAGAGAGAGAGAGAGAGAGAGAGATCGAATGTAATTCTTCAGTATATTATTTTTCTTAGAGAGTAAGCAATCTTACAAGATATTTATAGAGAACACAAGATTATAACTAATCTAACTACCTAGCTAATCTTATGCCAAGTGTCACAATCTCTTACTCATACATAATATCTCTATCAGTAATGAAGTTCAATTTTTATCTAATAAGTCACAATACCTACATAATTCCTTTATCACAAACCAAAAAAATTATTTGGATTCAGCAATTAACTTTAATTTGCTTGTAAATTGAAAGTGTTAGAATCCAAAATCTACGATATTCATAGAGAACATATTTAGTGAAAATCTTCTAAAAAACAAAATAAGTTGAGAAGAATAATTAATATTATGAATTGAATTCTATAATTTTGGAATAATTGTACAAAATGGTTTTTGGACGTGGTACAATCCTGTAACTGTCGGTGCCATGACTGACTTTACAGATAACTTATAGAGCTCAAGGTGTAAGGACATTAAGTAGGGACACTCTATGTTGCAATAGGCAACTGAAGAATCTTTCCAATCCAGCCTCAAGGTTGGATATGCTGCAATCCAATGTGTCTAGTCTCTCCATTGAACCACCTGCACATCAATCTTGGCATCACTCTTTCTGATGTTTCCATGGAGTGAGCAAAGAGCATCATCAACACTTCCCACTTCATTGTAAACCTTTTGGGCTTTTTCTGCTGCTGCAAATTTCGCCGCCATTAATTTCGACACCAATGACCATTTGCTACCCGTTGTGCTAGCCACCGGTGTGGATAGAAACACGAAGAGGGATTGAAATACAGAAATTGTTACATCACTTAACTCTTTTAACAATTTAAGTACTATTAATACATTGTAGTCACAATCCAAGAGATGGAAGGACCCAAGATTTGTTTGCATTTTCTTCAAATCTCTGAGGGTCTTTGCAATGCTCTTCTTCGCCTTTTTTCGGAAGCAAATGTAGGAATGAACGCTGGTTTCGATGCTTGAATCTCCGGTCCTCCTGCAGAATGCGGATTGGATGTTCTGGACATTTTCCTTCATTGTCAAGAGAATGTCTCTTGCACTACCACATGAGTCTAGCAACCCAATTGACCCATCAAGTGCTTCTTCCACAAGTGCTTTGCACTGTTGGTGGCGAAGTGCTTGTTGGGTCACTGGAGAGAGAACAAGTTCCTCAATGCAATAGTACAAATCTGCTAGACCAGACAAGCCCACCAGAAGATCCTCATTCACTAGAGAACATGAAAATTTCGAAGTCTTTAACTTGTTTAAATCTGACTCAATTTTTTGGGATTTAGGGTTTAGCCTAGATGGTAGGCTAATAGACCTCACAGGCACTATGGATGCAAATGAAACAGCCATTTGCATTTGTAAAAAGTCTCTAATATTTTACACAAATTGGATACAAACCCTGTATTGGAAAACCTCAAACTCTCAAAATCTCTATATATAACGAATTTCACTTCGGTGCTATGAGTTTTGGATAACCTTGATTCACAGGACTACAATAAAAGCAATAATCAAAACCAATTCAAGTCATTCAATGCTTATAGTATTTAATGTTAAGTAGTATGAAAAAAATTTCTATAATATAATATCAAATTATGAGATTGAATTTATGTCCTCTTTTGGTGACAACCCAGTACTGCCTGCATGTGATTGTTACGTGGGTCGCCCTGCAAGAAGATCCTGCATCAAATTTGGCTAACAAGGCACAAATTCTATTTCTTTTCTTTTTTCTCAGTTTATGAATTTAGGTCTGATTTCTTTTTGGGGGTTTGGACCCTCAATCTGCAAACAGCAATGTACAGGCCATGTGAGGCGTATGCCTCCTTGCCTCCCCCAATCATTTACCAGCCCATTCGCTCTCCTTTAATTTTATGGTATATGAGATACAAGTCATGTGATGTATCATTTCACGTGTTATAATAAAGATGAACGACATGGTTGATATGTCACATTTCTAGGTTCACGTGTTATAATTTAAGTAAAATAATAATGTCATGTGACCGTGTTTCAAATCCACCGCACAATCCGCAATCAGAACTCAATCATATATATTCGTTTGGATGGATTGTTTGAGAAACATGAAAGGCTGGCAAGTGCTTTGCTGGTCATTTGAGAGACACCGGCGGAGCCACATTGAGGGCTACCTTGGGCCGTAGGCCCAGGTAGCTTTCAATAAAAAAAATATTTTACATGTAATTTTTAGTGATTTTTTAATGTAGCCAACCATATATTTAGTCATTAATTTGAAATTTCTCGGTTTAATTATATAATACAGTTTACAAACCATTTTTTCTCTCACATCTTTTTTCTCATCGCTTCTTGTACATGTACAAGTTTGAATTTGTTTGAATAATGAAAGTTTTTTACTCACGTTATGAAAATTTTCTTAAGCTAGCTGATACTGTAAAAAAATATAGTATCAAGTTTCTTTGTTTATAAAGATTTAAATCTTTAAGCTAGCCCACCTGATGAAAATTTTCTAACTCTACCATTGTTGAGAGAAACAGAAAGTAGGTATCAGTAGGTTAAAATTCAAAAGAAAACAACAACACTGAGACAAGATTTAAGCAAATAATTAAATAATGATTATTGGCTGGCTATGGTAATAATGATTGTAATTAGGTAGGTTCTTCTCACCAAAATGGTCTGGTCCATCTAATCAAATAATCACTGGATTTCCTTAATATTTTGTGCACCATATACACCCAATTTTTAATTCACAGACAATGAAACATTTTGACACTTTTTTTAATTCACCTGTTATTCTGAAACCAAAGCAATTATAGTAAACATTTTTGGGTTAAGAGGGGCGGCAGGCTGTTGGCAATTAGTGTCACAAAAGAGCCTAAACCTCAGGAGTTAAAAATGCCCCATGTAGTTTTTGATCACATGTTTGGCATAACCTTGTTGGCAGGACGCAAACCTAGCAAACCCTAAATCAAAGACAAAGAGTAATGCTACACTCTTTGTTGCATTTTTTAGGGCACCCTTTTCTGCCTTTGCCTAATTGTGCATAATTTTGTTCACTGAATAAACAACATCATAAGTAAATGTGCATTATGTTAATTGGCCAAACTAATTCGTCTCTCTCTTGCAACTTAGAGTGGTTTAAAATCTCGTCCTGTACAAAGTAAAATATTAAAAAAAAGCCCAGTTGGATATCTGGAGACCATGTTTTCACCCAAATCCCGATTGTTACACACTAATTTCTTGGTTTGATGGCGAGTACGCTTCATGTAGTTGTATTTCTCGTGATTTAAGCTTGTAGGTTGTTTTACGTTTTGGTAGTTTTGCGGTGTGGGTTTAACATGAGATAAAGCTTACTTCTGGTAATGTGAGTTGTTTAGTTGTTTGTATAGCTTTTTCCTGTAGATTGTATTGATCTTATTGTTATACTGACAATGTTGATGTAATTTTGATGTCTATCTAATGAAATTTATTCTGATTAAAAAATAAATAAACGACACGATGGAGAAAAGTTACAGGGTTCAATTGTGGTAACAAGTTGAAGGAGATGTATCATGTACCTTGACCTGACAAATAGGTTGTATTTGTCGTTTTTGTGTCATACATGTTATCTTAACGGATCGTGTTGTGTCAAACCCAATATCATAATAAGTTCTTAATAGATGACTCAATAACGATCCAACTCGTTAACTGGTCGTGTTATCTCGTATCAGGTTAATTGGTTCATAATATGATGTACTATCGAGGAACCAGGATTAGAGAATTAGAACATATAAAGAGTCATGATATCCCACTCAATTGTTAATGCAAATCCAAACAGACAAATAAAATTTGGGGGCTTATTCTATTGCTTTTCATAAAATTCAAAGTAATACAAGATCGCAAAAGAGTAGACATGGTCCTGTCATCTGGATAACCTTTCTTAAAGCCCCTTTTGACTCAATTTGTATAAGCTATTATTTTATACAGCCACCCAATCAAGAAAAAGGGGATTTTTGTACTTATATGGATAGTAGCAGACAATTACAGCTTCACAGGAGTAGCTGGTCAACAACAAATAGCAGATAGTGTCCGATGCAAAATCCGGGGGAGAGGATTGTCTGCGACCATGGTTAGTTTGTTGGAGGATATCTGTCAAGAGGGTAAAATGTTTGTCTGGAAGTGAATACAAAGTGTTGGAATTGAGCTTCCGGGGATTATTAATGCCGGTCATTTACACTGGCTCCACTGGTTACTCAAACTGCTCCTGTAAATTGTAATTCTTCGCAGCATCACGAAATCTACTAAAGATCTTACAGCCTATGGCTAGACATATGAAACTTCTCGTGGCTTCGTGTCCAGGGCCTTCCAATTGGGGATCTTGTCATCGTTGCGGTTCATCAGAAGAGTCATTTGGCCTGGTGCAGATAAAATCGATAGTGTTAGTGTGCTAGATGTAGCCTTCTTGCTTCATCAACGACGACTGTTGACAACTCAAACAACCTACAACAGCCAACGAAACTGGCCGGCCAAAATAACAGCCTTACTTGCATAATAACAGACAAAGAAAAATCAGAATTCACAATTCACATGTCTAACCTTATTTTGAGAAGAGCATATCTAGCCGGATTACACATATAATATAGCACAAGTAGAGAAAACCATCATGATTAGATTTGGAGTAAATATAAGCATCAATGTGCAACAGGTTCTACTCTTTCAACTTCCACCCATGAAGGGATCATATCAAGGCAAAAGAGTTCAAAATCGTGATCACGGTTATGTCAAAACAAGATATGACAAACTATAGGAAACCTAACAACTCCAGTTGAAAACAATCTAAAAATACGTAAGCAGAAAGCATACAAATCCAAACAGCAGTAACTTTGGCATACCTCAAAGACAAAAATTTGTACATTTTCAAGTGTTGCCAGAAGGAACAAGAATACTTTAACTCACTTCAGTGCTTTCAAATCAGTTATCTCCTTTCCGGGAAACATTAAACAAATACAGCAGGGTTAATGGCATTTGCTTAACCCTGACAGTTAAAGTGAGATTCGCAAACTAAAATGTCACAGAAAACATTCAAGCTGAAACAACATCACAAATCTAAGCTTCGTAAATTTCATATATTTAGAAAACCAGTGGCCACCTTTGCTAGTATGGGAATTGATAAACATTAAACTGGCATATTCAGTTACAAAGACAAACTATATCAAGAAAGGTTACAAAAACTACTAGAATCCACCGAATAAATCTAGTTATTATGGAAAAGAGAGCAAATACCAGTTAGACAGCAAGGCCTTGCTCCCTTGCTTTCTCAAGCCACTTCAGTGTACCCTCCAAATTAAGTCGTGTAAGCAGCAACATCAGTTACACTCTTACTCTCAACTGCATAATCAAACACTTCGTAAGCATCTGCAACCCTACCATCCTTACAAAGTGCCCTCACGAGTGTAGCATAAGAAGCTGTATCAAGCTTCATCCGGCATTCTTTCATTAACCGATACAATTCCAACCCTTTCACTAAAAATTCCGACTTACACAATCCATGAAGCAAGGTATTATGCCAGCAAACATTTGGCTGGCACCCCTGCGCTTGCATCTCCTCTAACAACTCCATTGCAGCCAAGACATCCCCTTTCCGACACATTCCGTTCATCAATGAAGTGTATGTCACCGCATCCGGGAAATGACACATTTCGACCATGACACCCAAATACTTCTTAGCCTCCATAATCCGCCCACATTTCGATAACCCAAAAATCAAAGTATTATACGTAACAAGATCGGGTTCCACACCCTTCTCCTTCATTTTCTTCAGTACATCAGCTGCCTCTTTGCCTCTTCGGAGATGTGTGGACCGTCGAATCGAGACTCGGGTGAAGTTCGTAAGGAGAGACCTGATTGTTCTCGATATCGAAAACACACGGATTCCGTTCGTATGACGAACATGGACAGTAAATTTGGGGGTCGTGAAAATTAGGGGCTACGTGTTAAGTCACGGACCTTCAATGGCACAACAACCCAGACCTGCAATGGTCTCAACCTGCGATGGCAGCTGTAATGACAGTGATGAAGGGATAGAGTAGAGAGGAAAAGGAAAAGGAAAGGATATTCTATTCAGTAATTCAATTCTGCCCTTACAAATTCATCTGGCCACCATTTAACCACATGCCAGAGAAGTTCTCCCCACTACATGCGTGCCAGCTGGACACCACTCACTAATTAACTAAACTCTCAAAAGACTTAGGCAAATACAATTGAACCCGGTTACAAAACCCTTACACTTTTTAACCCAAAATCCCTTACAAACATTCCTATATAACCACTACTTGTTTCCTTTCTTACGGTTCATAACAATGCTCTCCCCTCCGAACAACCTTGTCCTCAAGGTTCTAGAGTGGAAAATCTGGATATTTGCTCTGAAACTCATCAAAATCCTCCCAAGTTGAGCTTGCTTCTTCTTGATCCTTCCATTGCACCAACACCTGCACCCCTGCAACATCTCATTTTTTATACATCCTCCTAGCAAGTATGGCCTGTGGTATATTGTGAATCAACCCATCATCAGTGACTTGGGGTAGCTCAGTCTGTGGAATGTTAGTTGGTCCAAGTTGCCCTTTGAGACAGCACACATGGAAAACAAGATGGATTCTTGTCTCCGGAGGTAGCTTGAGTTTATAAGCAACTGGTCCAATCTTCTCCAAAATTTCATAGGGTCCATAGTACCTTGGTTGTAACTTATGGTAGCTATGTGGAGATAAGGCCTGCAGGTGATAAGGTATCAATTTCAAGTAAACCAAGTCACCCACTTCGAAATACCTTTCAGTCCTCTTCTTATCAGTATATTGCTTCATCCGTTTCTGTGCCACCACCAAATTGTTCTTCAATATTGACAACACCTTATCTCTGTTCATTAACTCTTGTTCCACAGTTTCCATCTTTGTAGTGCCCATCTCATAAGGAATTACTTGTGGTGGAGGGTATCCATATACTATCTCAAAGGGAGTGTGTTTCGATGAAGTGTGAAAGGAGGTGTTGAAACACCATTCTGCCCATGGTAGCCATTGAACCCATTTCTTAGGCTGCCCTCCTACAAAACACCTCAAATAAGTCTCCAAACATCTGTTCATTACTTCAGATTGCCCATCACTTTGAGGGTGGTACCCCGAACTCATGCACAAACTAGAATTCTGTAACTTAAAGAGTTCCTTCCAGAAAGCACTTGTAAAAACTGGGTCTCTATCACTCATAATAGAGTTTGGCATCCCGTGAAGCTTGAAGATGTGCTCCACAAAGAGTTGTGCTACGGAAGAGGCAGTGTAGGGGTGTGACATAGCAATGAAATGGGCGTATTTGGAGAGCCTGTCCACTATCACCCATATAACCGATTTGCCTTTGCAATTAGGTAGACCAACAATGAAGTTCATACTGATATCACTCCAAACTCTCTGTGGTATTGGGAGGGGTTGTAACAATCCAAGGGGTGAGATATTCTCAATTTTATTTTGTTGGCAAGTAGGACACTCAGCTATGAACTGCCGAATGTCATGTTTCATTCCCTTCTAATAAAACCCTCTTTTGATTCTCTGGTATGTTTTAAGCACTCCTTGATGACCTGAGGATGGGGTCGAATGATATTCTGCAATAATCTTGACCTTCCAATCAGAAGTGGGGCCTAGCACAATTCTCTTCTTATAACAAAGGAAACCATTGTCAATAGAATAATGGCTCAGTTTTGAACTTTCAACGCCATTATGTGTAGCTTGTAGTAACATTTGCTTTTTCTCCCTAACCCATGCATCATGCTCACTGCTCCTTCTCAACTCATCCAACCAACCTACATAGGGATAAGAAATTGCAACACACTCACTGTCTTCACCATTGTCAGTGACAGGTGTTTTTTTCCAAGGTGTATTATGCAACCTAGACAGTGCATCAGCTACCATATTTTGTGACCCTTGTTTATATTGAATTTCGTAGTCATACCCCATGAGCTTGGAAACCCACTTTTGTTGAAATTGAGTACTGGCCCTTTGACTTAAGAAGTACTTAAGGCTATTGTGGTCAGTTTTGATAACAAAATGTCTACCCTGCAAGAAATTTTGTCATTTTTTCACTGCATACACTATAGCAATCAACTTTCTCTCATAAGTAGAGAGAGCTTGGTTTCGAGGACCAAGAGTTTGACCAGTGAATGCGATAGGCCGTCCCCTTTGTTGAAGAACAGCCCCAATGCCACATCCAGATGCGTCACACTCCAGTTCAAAAGGTTAAGAAAAGTTTGGGAGAGTCAAAACTTGAGGTGAAATCATGATGGATTTAAGATGGTCAAATGCTTGTGCCGCTTCAGGACCCCAATGAAATCCATCTTTTCGAGTCAACTGATAGAGAGGATGACATATCTTGCCATAATTCGGCACAAGTTTACGATAATATCCAGTTAACCCGAGAAACCCCCTTAACTCTTTGACAGATTTTGGAGTTGGCCAATCTTGTATGGCAGAAAACTTGGAAGAAACGATGTGCCCAAGATATTCAATATTTAACTGTCCAAATGAGCATTTGGATTTCTTAAGATACAACTGATTGTCCTTTATAACTTCAAACACAGTTTGTAAATGTTGTAAATGCTTCTTCCAACTCTTGCTGTAGATCAAAATATCATAAAAAAATACCAACACAAACTTTCTGAGATATGGCTTGAATATATCATTCATCAAGCTTTGGAGAGTGGCTGGAGCGTTGGTAAGTCCAAAAGGCATCACTAAAAATTCGTAGTGACCCTCATGAGTTCGAAACGCCGTTTTTTCAACATTACTAGTTGCCATTCTAATCTGGTGGTAACCAGATCGCAAATCAAGCTTAGTAAAGTACTTAGGACCATATAACTCATCCAATAGATTATCAATAAGGGGTATGAGGTATTTATCCTTAATGGTCAAGGCATTAAGTTCCCTGTAATCTATACACATTCTCCAGCTGCCCTCCTTCTTCTTAACTAAAAGCACAGGTAATGAGAAAGGACTATGGCTCGGTTGAATGAATCCGGCAATCAATAATTCTTGAACTGCTTTCTCAATTTCTGTCTTCTGTAACGGACCATAGTGATATGGTCGAATGTTTGGTGGTGTTGCTCCCTGGACTAGAGGGATGTGATGATCATGTTCCCTGGATGGGGGTAACTTAGTAGGGCCTTGGAAAATGTCAGTAAATTGCTTCAACACTGCTTGAAGTTCTTGTAAATGATCCTCATTCAAATCAAAGGACTCTAGTTTCTTCCCTTCTATAGAATAAAGAAATAATCCCAAATTAGAGCTGCCAATTGCCTTTTCAAGGTTTTGCAGAGAAATCTCGTGTATGCACTGCGATGGGGTCACAGTAGAGGACAATATATAACGGTGGTGATCCTTGGTGAATTCCATTGTAAGCAGCTGGAAATCCCATAGGACTAGACTCACCGTGGACAACCATTGGACTCCTAGTACCACATCACAACCACCCAAGGGCAAGGAGAAGAAGTCAACCTGGCATGTATACCCCCTAATGAGAGTGTAGCATCCATGCAGCAACCGGAACTACAGATCTTGCCTCCATCCGCTATCATGACTTCAAAGTTGGTGGTAGGAGAAACTGGTTGACCCCATTGTTTTAATAATTTGGAGTCGATAAAATTGTGAGTGCTTCCCGAGTCTAGAAGAATTCGTACATGGTGCCCATTAAGTTGGCCATCAACCTTCATAGTGCGGGTTGTGTGGTTCTCCCCAGTACCATAAAAAGCATAGGAACTAGTTCCATAGACGGTTTCGGGCAACGAATGTCTGAATGAGGCAATTCTACCCCTTCAGTATCCAGGACGTCTAGCATTAACAGTTGCTTTAATCCACACTTATGCCCCGCAGTCCACTTATCAGTGCAAAACCAGCATTCCCCCCGCTCCCATTTCTTCTGAATCTCCTCTGGGGACAATTTCTTAACAGGATACGCACTCTGTCGATTGACTGGAAAGGGATGAGGAGTGGTAGTGGTGGATGGTTTGGATGTGACAGTGGATTTCAGAGTGGGAGTTTTGAGCTCAGTAAGTTTGGTATCCAATTGAAGAGCGATGGAAATGGCTTCATGAACATTCACAGGTTTCAATAGCTTCACATCAAATTTCAATTCCTTCCTTAAACCCCCTATGAAGCAACTCTTACGCAAGATGGGACCAATTTTAGGTAAGCGAGTGGCTAGACGCCGAAATTCTGATATATAGTCATGAAGACGGAGTTTGGAGTTTGAAGATTGCTTCAGCACTATCTTCAAACGCAGAGGGTCCAAACTCCATACACAAGGCCTTAGTGAACTCCCACCAAGTAGGTGTTGTATGCAAGCAATCCAACCAACGAAACCAGTGGAGAACCTCCCCTTCGAAATGGAAAGAAGCAGTGAGGACACGTTGATCATCTGGAGTATTGTAGAAGGAGAAATACTGCTCTGCCTTGTAGATCCAAGCAAGTGGATCGTCACCTTCGACAAATCTTGGAAAATCGAGACATGGAGACCATGGTAGCCGCGGTGGAGCACACCCTCCCCCCCCAGGAACAGAAGGACTGCGCGGAGGCGGCAAGGGATCGAGATCAGAGGACGGTGGATGCTTAGCAGGCGAGGAAGCAGTGGCACCGACACCAAGACGTTGACAACCCAGCTCACGGCGAAACTGCTCGAAATAAAGAGGTAAATGAGCATCGAGGTAAGAATTGAAGTTGGCGTCAAACACCGAGTTAACAGCAGAGGTGATGAGGGATGGAAGATTGGCGAGGGTAGCTTCAA